ATAATTGCTCTTTTCCTTTGGATGTATCACAATGTTGGCCTATGCAAAGAGGAGCAGGGTGGGGGAGGAGGAGAGGAAAAAAAAGAGCTATGGCTAGAGGCAGTATGGACTTGAGGCACAGCTGAGTGATGAGGAGTGGGAGATGCTGAGCAGGCTCACACACACAAGGGCTGTACTTGTTGACTCTCCCTGATTGTGGAGAAAGACAAACCTTAGAAGGGAACATATTTTCTTCCTCTCCCGCCTATGTGTGAGCACCATGAAACTATGCAATCAGTGTCATCTTCCAGAAGAAATCTGTTAGCAAGGAAGACAAGTGGATTTTCTTTGGCCCCATAATGAATTGCTGGGGATGCTGCATTCCCACTGCTGAGCCAGGTAGTCATGTAGGGACAGAGAAAAAGGTGAGAAGTCTGGCTGCCAGAAACCAGCTGCTTGGAGCAGGTCCACCTCCTATACTCAAGAAGCAAGCCCATTTCTGAGGTACCACCCACGTGTGGAGACCAGCTCTTGTGGGATGGAAGTGCTTCCAAAATGTAAGTGGTTTCTGCTGTGCTGGGGTGTTGCGGCTTCGTATGGTTCATTTCTAACCTCCTATTGACAGAATATCCAAAATGAAGATGAGCAGGCAGTGGGCTGAGGCTCAGTGCAGGGTTGTTTGATACAGCTACGGGTGTTCTGGTGGTGGGTGGTGAAAGGAAGGGAGCGAGGTGCTGACTTGTGACCAGACCTGACTTGTGGCCTTCAGTGGGGAGGAAGGAGAGCAGTGCTGCCTGCCAGCCCTACTTCGGATGCCTTCAGGGTCTGCAGGGCCCTGTCTGGCATTCAGAGCTTCTGTGGATCTACCTTGTCACAGCCCAGGGAGGCAAGGACCTGGGGACATCCACCTGTACAGATGGGATGGCTCCTCTGTGTGCCTGGCTTGTGTCCAAGTTCCTCAGAGCAGCTGCAGTAGGGTGGAGGATGTGGTTGCACTCACATGGTGCTGGGCTGCTGTGTCTCTCTTCTTGCATGCAAAGCCCCATCTGTGCCTCCTGGCCAGCTGATTTTGGGGATGGCATGGGAAGAGGGAACACAGCAGGTCTGCCTGAGCAGGATGTCTTTGCCTGCATGGGTTCACAATGCCTGCTCTGGACATCTGGCAGGGAGCCTGCTGACATTTAGGAGAGAGAGGAGCATCCTTGTGCCCCTGTAGAATCCCATGTCCATGCCCATGCAGCTGCCCCATTTCCAGGCTGGATAAGCATGGCTGGACTGAGCCGTGGCATCCAAACCAGGGGGCTGTGCTCCCCGGAGTGCTGCTGTGTGCTTTCTGCTGTGGTCACTGCTGGAAACTGCGTGTGTCTTCCAGCAGGCATGAAGCAGCGTGATGCCAGCCATCACATGCCACTGGTCCTTCCTCTTCTCCCCAGAAGGAGCAGTCTGGACAGAGTCTGGGTTTTGTCTCTTACAGAAAGACATGTGGAGGCATGGGTGCGTGTCCCCTTGAGGATGCACACTTAGATGAGGCGAAATGAGAACCATGCCTTTTGTGTGGAGCTGGCAGAGGGGCAAACCTCAAAGCAGCCCTTCTCTGGGGCTGGGTTTGGTGGCAGCTCTGCCCTGTCCCCTTTCTGTGGTGGGTTTCTGACCACCCGTCTGTTCTGCAGGCGGTGAGCACAAACATGGGCCAGCTTTTATTTGGTTTGCATGGTGGATTTTGCTGTTTTCTGGGGGTGGGAATGCCGCCTGCTCTGAGGCAGCTGCACCTCCCTGCCCCAGCTGCCACAGCTCAGCTTCGCCTCAAAACACATTCTTGTGCTGGGTGCAGTGCCTCTGTGCTCTCAGATGGAGATTGGCTTTTATCTGCCTCTGTCTGCACGGCATCTGCTTCCTTCTGCCTCTTTAATCCTCTGCATTTTCCATAACCTAAAATAAACCAGTAACAAATCTGGGATGTGATTCTCCAGCCAAGGGGACAGATCTGGGGCTGTGGCATTTTGTACCTACCGTGGTTTCTGCAGCAGTCCTCTTTCTTTTTTCCTTCATTACACAGAAGACTTGTGAGAAATGTATTCTTATGTCAGTAGCATTCAAAGGCAAAAAGAAAACCTGCCAAAGAGAGCCTTAAAAGTCTGACATATCATTCAGAGGAGAATTTTCACTAGAATTATGCTGGAATTTTTCCAATAAATAAATTCTGCAGACTTTTAAGGGAGAGCTTTTAGATTAATGGAAATATTACTTAAATTAAAATTCATCCCATTAAGCCATCAATTCCATTGTCATTGCAACATCATGTGTTTAATTTTAACGATGTGCACAAATAAAAAGGAAGCAATGCAAGAAAGCTATTTGTTTTATTGTGCCAAGAGCTGAGTATGGGCTGCTGTGGAAAGTTAAATACAAGATAGAGTGGGCACAAGGCAGGATCAACAGAGATGTTAAAATGCATTCGCAGAAAGTGTATTGCACTGTACTGAGTATGGAAATGCTGAGAAGCATACTCTGGCTTATATTTTCAGTGAGTTGCGGAGTGGTTTTTTTTTTGTTGTTGTTGTTTTCCCCCACACACTTTCAATGATTTCAGGAGGAGGCCTTAAGCAGTGTCCAGGCTCTGTAGCTTTGTTTCCGGAGCCTCATGTTGAGGAGAACTGATCCCTGACCCCAGCTGGGACTATGTCCCAGCTCACTGTTGTGCCAAAGAAACAGTTTCAATTTGGCAGCTTAGCCCCTCTAAGCTGCCAAGTTGAAACCATGTCTTGAGCTCTCTGCACTTGCAAACTGAGGCTCTCACAAGAGCAGACTTCATGCCACCTGCATCAGGACCTTCATCTTCCAACCTGGCTGGACAACCTGAGTGTCAGCACTTGGTATTTCAGAGACTCTGCTTCCCATCTGCAGAAGGATGGATGAGTGAGTGAGGGGGAAAAAGCTAACTGGCTTCAACTTCTTCTGCCTTCTGGTATGATTCATGCTAGACTGGGGTGGGGGAAGGTGGACGAGAAGGTTCCCACATTTTCCAGTGTGTCACTACTCAGCAGACCACAGGGCTCTTGCTTGGAATGAACATGAGCTCCCACTCCGGTGGTTTTCCTCTTAAGGCACCAAGTCTCTGTCCTCTGGGAGTCACCCCAGACGTAGGACCCACTGCTCATGCCTTGGCAGACAGCAGGAGCAGTCCCATGAGGAGGTGGGTCCCCAGCAGACAGGACTGTGCTGCCCTTGGGCAGGGTGGGCCTTGGTAGGAGAGGCTAGCCCCTGTGAGAGCTGCCACACCACAACCGTGGTGCTGCACTCCCCGGGAGTCTGCTGGGGCTTCTCGTGACAACTTCTGTGCATGCAGTACCCTAGGGTGCCTTGTGGCTATTTCCCATTTCATTTTGAAGAGCTTGGTCATCCTTCTGGCATCTGGAACCAGACGGGGATTTACCCTGAAGCCTCTCTGTCATACAAGGTGGGCCCCCAACCCAGGGGCCACACTCCAGCATTTAAAGTACTGCTTACAAGGAGGGGAAAAAAAAAAAGGTCATGTTTGGGGGGGGGAGTTATGTGGGTTTAAGAAGGGTTTTAAGGCGGCATGTAGATGCAGCTAACTGCAGTGAAGCTACTTGGTGACTCAGGTGTTGCTTGAGTTCAGACTGAAGCAGGTTATTCAGCAGAGCAAGCTGGCACAGAGGTTGGAAGGTGAGAGGTATCACTGCCCATTGATATCTTCCACGTCCACGTCAACACCAGCTCTCAGGACAGCAGCTCCAGTATCAGCAACCTAGGGGACTGTGACCTCCCATTGCTCAGAAGACAAACCAGCTGTGGTCTGCGGACACAGGAGCCGCGTTGTGGGAAATGCTCCACCCTGTGGGAAGGACTGAGCCGGTCTGGCTGGCTTTTGGGGCAGGTTCTTCTTTCTGCCTTTGAGCTTTACTGAAGGTGAAAGGGTCTTGGGGTGGGAGGACCACTTCCCCATGAAAGGCCACACATTGTGCAAGGCCTGGCCTTGCTCACCACCAGTCCTGGGAAGGTTTGACCTGAAGCTCATTCCTTCACTGCTGACTTCTTGGTATGTGCAGCAGCTTGTTGGAAAATGCATTAGGTTTCATGCCCTTATGGGGCTTTGGGATTGCTTTTTTTAGAAGTGGGGAAATGACTCAATTTGAAGTTTGAGGTGGCCTTAAGTGAACAGAAAACCCAAGTAGGTCACTGGTGCATCCCTAGGTTTCTCATGCCCTCTTAGGCTTTGCTATGCAAAATGAGCAGTGCTTTTCTTGCTGAGGCTAAGAATACCTTCCAGGCCAAGTTCCAAGGTCAAGCCTCCTCCATCTATATGAATTAACTGTCTTCAGCACAAATTTGAAGGAGTGCAAATGCGTCGTTGTTAGAGCATGTTTTGAGAACAGCTTCAGGAGCACTGAGCATATTGTTACTTGCAATGAGGCAGGGTTCCCAGACATTTCACTGAAATTGCTGTTTAGGCTCAGTTTCCACAGTGGCTAAAAAGTCTCTCCTTTGTTTCCAGGTTACTTCTTTGCCATAGAACAATTATTTGTTTTTCACCAGCAGCATAAGATACATTTTCCTTGGGTTCCCTTGAGTGTTTTGTGCTTGTGGTCAGTGAAAGAAAAGGTCAGTGACTCTGGCTGCTGCATGTTGCCACGGCTTCTTTTTCACAGCTGGATTTCGCAGGGTCCTGAGGTAGGGATGGGCTTTCATTCAGGGGCACTGGAGTTCATGACCAGTGGGTTCCGTTTCCTTTTTGTTGTTGTTGCCTTTAGCTAAAGGCCGTTCTCTGCATTCCTGCTGAATTGTTCCTGTTTTCATCTCTGCCTCTTGCCTCCCCTTCAGCCCTCAGTCTTGGTTCAAAGGAGCCTTAAACCAAGGTGACTTCATACCTGGTGCAACCCAAGGACAATTCACTCCTGGGAAAAGAACAGGACAGTTTGTATGTTCCCATCATCGCCATCAGTCCACTGGTGAATTGAGTCCCTTCTTTTTTTTATCATAATCTTTTCTTCCTGTGGTCCCACTTCTTGGTCACTGTATGCCATACTTGTAGCTAAAGGCCTGCTTCTAGACCCGTATTGCTACACGCAGACTTGTTTCTCACCTGAGAAATGGGCACGATGATTCTTCCATGCCTCCTAGGGGCATGCTGAAGAAAAACATATTAAGTTATCCTGACCTCCTATCTTTATGATTATTGTGTGTGGTCAGTGCACATAAACTGGATGGGTGCATGTAGCAAAGCCACGTGAGATGTTAAGGTGGTCTTCCTGGCTACGTGACAGCTCCTCATTAACAAATGCTCAGTGGTCACTTTGACTGGAGACTAGGGGCAGAGCCTGCATTTCCCTGATTGCCCAGGAGAGACCATACCTCTTAAGAGCAGGGAAATGTCTCCTCGGGGGCTGGTGTCCCATGGGGAGCAGTCGGACTCCATCCAGTGCATCTATGTAGCGGTCACTTGTAATCATTGCTAATCTAATGAGAGTAATAGGAAGGCATGGAGTCCAGCAGAGATTTATTGGTCTGAGGGGATACCACTGACAGAGACAAAGCAAGGGACAATGTTTCCCAGAAATAAATGCTGACATTTATGGAAACATAGAGTATACGTCCACATCTATTTTGAGTGTTTGCGTGAGAGCTACCTGGTAAGCCTCCATTATGGGTATATTTCCTAAAGGGTAATAAGTTTTTCTCTTAAGCTAATATTCTAAAGGGATGGATTAAATTAAAGGTTCATTTAAAAACTATTTCTTTTCTCCTGGAAGGTGAATAATAGTTTTCACTTGCACTGCTGCAGCCCTTCATAACATGTTTTATTTGCATATATGATTTGGTTAGCTGGCGTTACTTCAAACTTCATATTATTCATTTTTGGTGGTTAAAGAACAATCTGGGCCCTGATCCTTTACATTAATCTCATAAATTAATCACACTGGATAAAATCTTGTCTTCACTGATGTTGACAGCAAAACTGCCATGGATGTCATCTGGGTCAGTGTTTCACCTGCTCCTCGTGTGCTTAAATGCACACCTGAGTCCCTGTTTCACTGACATGCTGTGTGCTAGGGCTCTCCGTGGGTTCAGCCAGCAACTCCTGCCCTCCAATAGAGATGTGAAGACCTCAGGAGATAGACTGTTGAAAAATCAAAGTCCTATTGCAAAAATACTGAGCTGTTTTTCACCTTCCAGGAGCTGAACAGGTTAAAGGAGTGAAATCCAGGCTGCCCACACCACTTGCACGTAATGGTTACTCAGGGTCAGTGTTTCCCCACGCAGTTGACCAGGAATTGATTTTTGTGTGTGTGTGTGTGTTTGAATAGGTCTATCTCTCAGCAGCAGAGAGTAAGGCATTATAAACATGGGAAAATCTGATATGGAAAAGCTGGCAAGGGATAATGTTCGTATTTTTTAGGACTAATATATATGCATGTATCTAATGAATGATATATTATATATCTCATAAAAACTGTATTAAAACATATCAGGATTGTGAAGTGAAATATTGGGCTATGGATGGATGGTGTTCGCTGATGGAATAAATATCCCTCGTAGTTGGCTTGGGTTCATTTTATCTCTTTATTCTTCACTTTCACTATTCAGTAGGGGGTTTCAGGCTTCCTACTCTCTGCAGAGGATCAGTCACTTTCTCCCTGTGGTATTCTCAGCAGAGCATCTTCATCCTCTGCATATTCACAGCTGACTGGGTGCATTGAAGTGCTCTTATTTTTTTTTTTTTTTTTTTTCCTGAAAAACTTGGTAGAGAGGAAAATCAAAAAGAGGGTCAACTAACTGGGCAGGTCCCTATAGGAAACTTGAGGACCTTGTTTTTGTTGAAATTGCTTGGTGCTTCGTGATGTTAATCTTTTCCACCTGGTAAGATAGCCAGATACAAGAGATCATGGTTAGTTTTTACTGAAAGGTGTTTTTTTTTTTTTTTTTTAAATATACTAGATAGGCTTATTTACAAAAACATACAAATCTTGACCACAGACAGAGTCAAAGAGCGAGTGACTTTGCAACCAGATTTCTGCCAGCACTGTGTTTTTTTTTTTTTTTCCTTTTTTTCTTTGCTGGGCATAAATTCCCTGTTTTTGTTTCACCTTTGTATGTGTTTTTTTTTTTTTTCTTCCCTGGACTATCGCCATTCTGCTGCAGACACAAAGCAATAACCAGATAAGCTCTCCGCTTTACACCTGCGTTTATGTGCTTGCATTTAGGATGGAAGCTGGGCTGAGTCCTTCCCAAAGGTTGTGCGTGAAGGGCAGCGACTGCATCCGAGTGGCAGGAGTCTCCGTGCTCAAAGCAGAGATCATCTTCCCAGCACCACCTGGCTACTCTGCAAATTAATCTTTGGACGCCTGAAGATGGGCACCCAGAAAATGAGGTATGGCCAGTGGCGGTGTGTGACAAATTTAGATTAGGAGTAATCTGTCACAGCCAGGGATGGTATCCACTTCTGAACTCGCTGGCAAGAAATACTCATTGACATTAGTGGGAGCACAATGGGGGCCCAGCTTGCCCACAGTTACTATATTAAATGACCCGTAACTCAAAAGGTCTTGGATGAAATTTATTATTCTGCACCCAGCACATCAGTTTGCAGTGACATTTAGCTGAAGACAAACTCTGAAGAAGTGATAAGCTAGGGGAAAGCAGGAAAAAAAAAAAAGTAAAAATAAATTAAGTCTAGTTAATTTTATTAATGGCTTGTAGTTTAAATAGCTGTGGGTAATTTTCTTCTGCATCTGTAGAAATAGTCAGATAGAAGGATTTGCAGATTCCACAGAATTTCCAGAACAAACCAGGTACTAGGAAGGTTTTACTATGGAAACTGTTTTCACTGTTCAGGAAAGAGAAATTCCTCCTATTTGTTGTCATTGATGTAGGTCCTTCATTGACAGACCACCCCAGTGGTCTGTTGCTCTGGTGGTGGTGGTAGTGAAGGTCCCCCCTTTTATCTCCATGCACATGTACGTGCTGACATGTGAAACTGCTTCTTTGAATGCTGTTCTATTGCTTCTTCAATTTGGGAATTAAAATGGAAAGTGCATTCACTCCTTAATACAGAAAGAAAAATGGAAATGTTATTTTTAAATATTTAAAGTGGTTAAAATAGCAATCAGCATAAAGGGAGTTTGGTCCATTTTTTAAAAATGCAGCCCCACAATGGCAGGTGAATTGCAGGCCTTTGCACTTGGATCCAGTCTCCCTTTGCATTTTGATGAGATTTCATGGTTCTTTCATTCATTTATGGTAATGAATCAAATTATGCTATAAAAAGTTAGCAATGAAGACAAGAGATGCTGCTTGTTTTAAAGTATTTTGCATAAGTGCAGTGCCTTTTAATTTTGGGTAATGCCAGTGATTGATAATGTAGTCTAAAAGCAAATAAAATGCTGGCATATCCTCTGTAGGCTTTTCTTCTGTTGATAAATATCATTGCTGCCACAGATATGCACATCTTTGTCTGGCTTTGTCCAGCTGTGTGCAGTAGTATAGGGCAGTCCTTTTATTGTTTGGGCTCATAGAAGTCCTGAATGTATAGGCCAGCTATTTATAATTCTTAGCAACCTCGTACGGATTTCTGAATGTTGCATAAACATATGAGGACAGGGCAAAGAGATTTGGATAGTCTGATCAGAATCAATATGTATGGGAGCACTTCTTGTGCTGCATTTTGGTGTTGTGTTGTGTTTTTGTTTTTGTTTTTTTCCTAGCCTGAATCTAGCTAATGCTTCAGAAGTGTCTATAACTAAGATACGCCGTCACAACTGCAAATGGCAACCATGTAAGGACTGTATCAAAAACCTCATGCTCTCCAAACAGTGGCCTGGAAGGCATACGCCCTCTGAGCCCCCCAAAATAATAGAGACGGCCTGCCTGTGGAGGTTGGACCAAGACACAAGCACTGGTGACAGGGCAGTGCCTCAGTGTCTTGAGGCCAGACAGAGATCTACTAAGAAAAAGTTGAAGGTCTGGATGTGCTGCCATGGCAGGGGGGCTAGAGTACACATCTGTGATTAAAAAGCAAGCGTTGCTTGTGGTAGCCCATAAATACAGCACTCAGCATCTCACACCCTCCCGGTAGACCTAGATACTGGGAAGTTTTAACTCCATTTTAATACGGATATATATCCCTGACTGAAATCATAATATTTATGCAGGGTAATTTTTCAAGAGGCTTACTGGACGTGAAAACAAGTTCCTGGCTTTTCCCCTTTCATGGAAGCGAGCTGAAGGTCAGATTTACAACATTTCAAGCTGCATTCTGTGCTCATTTACACAGCTGTAATCTTGAGTTATGCCACCCAGGACAAGGAATTGCTCCAGACTTACAGGGATATAGCTGACAGCAGAATTTAGCTCGGGGTTGCCAAAGCTCGATAGAGAAGGAGCTGCAAGGGTGGAATTTGGTGCTCTTGAAGTAGCTTGTGTATGTTCAAGGAATGCAAGAGCCCCGAGATTTATTAGTAGTGTTGCAGAGCATTATTGAAATTAGGCTTAATTATCTGTGTAATTTGCTGGAACCAGCATTTTAGCATTTTTGATCAAGTATATGCCATTAATTTTAAAAAGAGATATACCAGGCTGCTCTCAGAAACTGAAATAAAAAGATTAAAAAAAAAAAGTCCATAATTTCTAAACGGCTTATTCCAGAAACTTTGAAGGCTGTTGTCAGAGGAGTCCCTCTCTCCCTTTCACAAGCAAACAGTCCCTCTGCAGTTCATGCATATGGAAGAAAGTTCACATCATCCCAGAGGGATGATATTCCAGCACGCAGGGAAAGGAAACTTCTCCTTATTCCCAGGCTCGCTGAGCCCAGCCAGCCCTCTCCCTCCAGCCCCACTGACACCACCCGGGCACGGCGCTGACCCTCCTTGCAGGAAGGTGCAGAAGCTGGGGGCTGTGAGCTGTAACCCAGCCAGCCCTTTGCAGGCTCCTGCTCACCCCCTTGCCCCCACAGGCTCCATGGGCACGGCTCCCTGTGGTTACACCAGCTCTGTGCCCTGTTTCTGCACTGCCTCTGTGCCATCCTGCAGAGGTGTAGCCTGTGGTCCCCCGAGCTCCCAGCAAGGAGGGCTGGTCTGAAACGCTGCCATCACACCAAGGTGCAGCAGACCTTGCTTTTCTGCTCATTTCTGTGGAAACATCGGGCTTAGCCACTCTGTCGTGTATTACATAGCAATAATGACACTTTCCTCTCCCTAAAAAAGTGCTTTACAGTTACAGTCATTAATATGTATGAATCGCTTGAAGCTTACTGCAATGTTGAGGGCTAGAGAAATACCAACACAGCTAGGTTATTAGCTGACACCTTGCCAAACCTCTGCCCGAGCAAGCTTTTGTTTTTGGGACAGCTGCTGCGTGGCGCTTTGCTGTTTTCAGCACTTCTCTAGTTGAGATTTTCTCCTCCTTATTCTCTCCGTACCTTCCCACCCCCTGCCTCTGGCAGCACTGAGGTGGTCAGCACGGCATTTTTGGGAGGCAAGAAGCAAACGGGAAGGGGAGTGCCATCACTGAAATGCTCTGCGCCCTGGCTGGGATGGCAGAAAAGCATCAGCTCAGGCTTTCCCAGTAAATGATTAACTTCTGTTTGAGCAGAGAGCCGAGCTGCGGTAAGAATGCAATTAATTATGCCAGCAGCCCAGCCAGGCCAGCAGTCAGCGGTGCTCTCACTTGTAGCTTCTGGCTCTGCAGGTCTGGTTTGAGAGTAACTAATTAAACACAGGTGCAGGCTGGAAGACTTGTTGAATTAATGTACAGTGTCTTCTTTTCTGTGTTCCCAGGCATTTGTAGCTTGCAAGAAAAGAGCAAGAGCTTGATGCTACAAATAATAATAGAGTGCTGATGATGGAGGTAATTAATCCTTTATTATTCTAGTGTGATAGGCTGCTGCTAGGGCTGTCATCCAAGTACTTCTCATGCAAAAACGTGTCTCAAAGGTGAAAGAACAGGGAGTAGGTGAAAGGCTGAATAACATTTTAATGGATTCTCTGGTGTTGTGGGCATAGATACATCTTTGGGTTTTTGGCAAGGCTGTTAGGACCTGGTGGTTAAAGCACAAGGCAGCATTCACTGCCCTATGGTCTGAGCTCCATTTTTGACTCACTAAGACCCTTTTAGCAAGCAGCAGCTTAAAATGAAAATTCAGGCAGGTTCAAATAGCAAATGGACATAGAAGGGAAATGCAGGAATGTACCTGTGGCTCACTGTGAGCTTTCTTTGCTGTTTTTACTACTTCCTGGGCATCCTCAGCTGGCTGCTGTCAGGAACAGGCAGCAGCTTTGATGGACTTTACATTAGCCCCAGCATTGTTCCTCCAGATGATGCAGAAGCTGATGGTCTTGCCACATGGGTGACTGGCTTCAAGTAGAGCTAACAGGGCTGTCTAAGGAGCTACAACAATAACAAATATTGATTCGGGGTTATTTATTACTAATAACAAATGCCATAAAATGGTGGGGTTTGTTGGTAACTTTCTGATGCTCTGATAATGATCCTTCCTGGTTCAAATCAAACTGCAGGATTCAAACATCTTTTCCAGCTATAAATAAGGGAAAATTATGAAAATGGTAGCTTTCTGCTGTCTCCATTGTCATTTCTTTGCTTATAATAGCCTTTTGTCCCAGGTACAGGACTGTTATGATTTTAAGAGACAGCAAGAAGGACGTAACCTCCTGCAGTAGAAGCCACTTAGAGTACAAAGCATTAGGAAACTTCAGTCTCAACACGTAAGGGAAAAACAAAACAAAGCATAACATATGTGTTTATTTTAAAGACAGTAGCGATTCCGTGCTCTTCTCGTTACTTCACGATGAAAACGGTCCAAAGCTATTAGGAATGTTTATAGCGGGAAAATAATGCCGAGTCTAATAAATGGATTGGATAGGACAGACCGTGTTTTATTCAGTGTGGGAACCAAACACTGCCATATTGTACAGATTTGCTGATCTGGAAGAATTGTACTCTCCTTACGGAATGCAGCTCAAAAGCTGAGTGCATGAAAATGACAGTTTTTTGTTTTTAATGCAGAGAATTTTAAGACTGAAACATTGCTTAGAGTTTTCTAAGAGATTCTGATCAACTTATGTAAGTTTGGGAAATCAGCAGTAATTTATTATCCTGCCATATTTCCTGGTGGCTTTTGTTTTCCTTGCATTGTGATCCTTAACTTGACAGAGGCAAATTGTGCTGAAGTATCTAGACGAGGGTTGTGTGGTGCTGTGGATTTCAGTGCTTAGCTGTGTTAGTGGAAGAGCTGAGGGCAGGTCGTAGGGCAGAGAAGGTTTTCGATTCTTCTTTTTCTCTTTGCTGGTCACCTGTGGGAAATTTCTCATGGTGGAGTGTTTGTCCTCAATGAGTGTGCAAAAATTTGAAGAAAAA